AGTATTTGTTTGGTACTAATGCTTTATAACCGTTTTTCAGCATTAGTCCCCATTATCCAATACTTCACATGGCTTTATATTCTCTTGCATCCAAGGGTTCAAAATCGCCCACATTATGGGTGAAAATGGCAAGAAAGCAACAACAAATTGGAAGAAAATTATAAAAAAAATGCAAAAAATCACGGAATAATAGCAAAAAGATGCAAACTACCATGAAGAATTTAGAAAAAAAAAAAAAAAAACAGAAAGTGGATAAAAGTTCAAGAAAAAACAAATCTGTAAAAGAGTTGTAGAAATTGGGAAATTCTTTAACTCGACGGCCTGAGCAGTGGGAAATTCTAGCCGGTCCGAACGCACGGTGCTGGCAAGTTTGACACTTCTGGAGATCCTTTCCAGTAAGCTCACGCCTCAGACGTCGTCCATCTTTGATGGAGGAGCAGCTCCATCACTATGAAAGAGACACTCATGTTCTAGTCTGCCACGTTCAGAGCTGAGCTCCATGGTGAAGTCATTGATGGAGGAGCAGGCCTGAGCCATGTTGCGGGAACACAGCAAGACCACCCCGATGGCTGAGAAAGGATAGGGACCATACAAATAACGAAATGAAATATGGCATTAGGGTTTCTTGATGCACCGTTTTTTCCAATCGTAACACCAATGTAGAGTCGTTTTCTGAGACAACGGCATTATGCCAAACACCGTCTAACCACATTTGACTCGATGTCAAAGAGAAAATCAGTGATACGAAGAAAAAAAGAAAATCATGAAAGAAAAGAAATGGAGTTAATTATAAGGGTGACTACTAGATCCATACTCATCACCCACGTAAGAATGGATTATTTATAACTTGTACTAACAGAAGTACAATAGGGAATAAAAGTAAGTTGCTTATCTATACAATTTGTGAAATTCTGGTTATAAACTATTGGGTCATCTATTGTAGCAAAGAAACACCTGTGGGTCTTCTATTTAGGTTGCTTCATGTGGAGATTCTAATAAGCAAATAAAAAAAAAGGAAGCCCCATATCTACCCTCTCTTGGATCAACCTGAAGAATAAAACAAAGGTAAAGGATTACATTTTTATACCTTAATGTAAGAGAAGAACTATATATACCGTTAGATTATGACCTAATCCAATAAACATTTTAGTTTTTGCTATGTCATGGCTTATAAAACACTTGAGTACCTTATTGCTATGTCTGAGTATGATCTCGTAATTGATATCAATTTAAGCAAAATATAAAACACCAAAAACCACGACAAACACAAGAGTTTACATGTTTTGGTAAGGATGGTTATGTTCATGTGTGAAGATGAGTAAAACAATTGCACTGATAAGTCAAAAGGGCTACAAGAGAAATACTATATTGACCAGAAAATGTAGAGATGAATTAATGATTCATACCTAATAGAAATTTAAAGGTTCATAACCTCAAAGTTAGATTACCAAACTATTTAGAACCCTAAAATCCGAAAATCTCTTACCAAAAGTAAAAGAAATAAAGAAAAAAGATATCCCAGAAAATTCCTTAATTAGTCTCAAAGTGGAGGGTCTAAGTATCTCATCCCATGGAAGACTTGGAGAGAATCTTTGAACTCTTATGTTGAAAATTGAGAGGGGTCTTATATGCGTAATTCCAATTTTTGAGATTATTAATCCTAGAAATAGGGCAACTTCAGACTAATGCCTCTCCCTCAAAAACAGTATGTTATTCAACAAAAGCAAAAATTAGTTAGAATTAAGGACTTTAGACTATGTTTGGTTTGATGGAAATGGTAAGGAAAGGAAGGAAAAGATAAGAAACAATTGACACAAGCGTCTCATATTGACCAAAGATATAACTATTTGGTCTTCCAATGTAGATTGAATCAAATATGAATATCCACTGATCTAATAAGAGTTCGAACTAGGATCCAGAATAATCCAATAATATTGATATCTTTATGCATAAAAACATTTTCAAATAAATAATTAAATAATTTTTTTATAGAAAATAAATAAATAAATAATAAAAAAAATGAATGATTATATGTAAAAGTATTGCATAAAAATAATCATAAAATAATTATTTCCCATCAACATATAACTTATCTCAAAGTAGGACCATTGGATATTCTAACATGTTAAAAATCAAACTAGGGCCTCTACCATCTAGAAGTTGCGGGATTATTTAGAAATCAAGATAAGAGCAATCTTCTCCTTGCTGTTATTTTGTCGCTTATTCTATTGGATAAGGTGCTACAGTATATTTCCATTTGTTTTAATCACTTAGTAACTGTTAATACAAATTAATGTGATAGATGTTGGAGTCTCTGAAGAACGACCATAACTTGACCTGACGCTCATCTGATTGTGACTCATGATGATTAATACCACCATCACGTAAGAATGTACTCGTAATGTCCAAGTTTTCTCTTCGACAACATTTATAAAAAATTAAATTAAAAACATTAAAGTATTATATATTTATTAATAAAATAAATTAAAAATGATTATGAGAATTATACATCATGAAATAAAATAAATTAAGGGGCTGTTTGGCATTGTTACTGTTTCTTGGAGCAATGGTGTCATATCGGGAAAAATGGTATTTCAGGAAATGGGCATTTGTTTGGAATTGTTTTTCCATAAAAAATAATGTTTCAAGCCATGCCTCAGAAATCGGGAAGCCATGGCTTGGAGCAACGTCTAGAGCTGCAACTTGTTGCTGCCAACAGGGCAGTGATGTGGCATTGATGTGACACTGGATAATGAGTATCAGTGCTGAAAATGTTTCCTGGAGCAATGGTATCAAATAGAAAAAGTTGCTCCAGGAAACATCCTACCTGGCAGCAATGATTCCAAATAAAAATAAAGACACTGTTTTCTAAGAAAACGGTTCTCCAAGCCACACATCAGCGGCACCGTGCCTTTATTTTTGTTTGGAATCATTGCTGCCAGGTAAGACATTTCCTGGAGCAACAAAAACTTTTTTTTGTTTGGTACAATTACTCTAGGAAACTTTTTCAGTATTGGTACCCATTATCCAGTGCCACATCATTGTTTTGTTGGCAGAAACAAGCTGCAGTTCTAAGAAACACCAACTTTGACATTGCTCCAAGTCATAGCTTCCCAATTTTCGAGACGTGGCTTGAAGCACTGTTTTTATGAAAAAAACAGTTCCAAAGAAATGCTTGTTTCGTGGAGCATCGCTTTTTCCAGTGTGGCGCTGATGTGACACCGTTGTTCCAGGAAACAACAACGATGCCAAACAACCCCTAAAATAACTAGTGTAAAACTTGAATCTTTGCCGACACCAACAAAAGCACAGCATTCAAACTGATTTTACGGAGTACTATTTTGCAATATCAATTTGTTTTTGAAATAAAAGCAATCTCTACATCAGTAAAATTATATTGTTTTTACTGATACCCTTAAGAATGCAATAAGTATGTATCAATCTATTGTTTAAATCGGATGAAGATGATATTGGATGAGATAGGGGGTGGATGTGGATCCATATTTATCCACCATTTCAAATCGTGGATAAACCTATTGTTTAAATATTTATCCAATGTGACCCTATTCCGTTCATTTGTTTTAGTCGCGGGGATGCATTATGCACGGATCTGCTCCTCACACAAAGCGCCTCACACGCACATTGTACCACATCCCCCCTGCTCTGGGGAATATCCACTTGCATACAAAAGACAAGCAAATTGTAAGGGAAAAGGACTTTGTGTGGGGGACCTACATATGTAGTAGAGCCATCCCATCGGCCAACCACTAACACTTTGAAATTTAAATGAGGAATTCCACCATCCGGATATATCATGGCTCATGGGTATGGATGCTTCATTTCCTTAGCTTCACCCGTCGCGGTTGAGCATAATGCATAAATCTCTCTCTCTCACTGAGTCACTGGTTCAACTTCAACAACCCCCTCAATCCTCATCCATGTTGTACGGATACCCAATTCAATCCACTCCCTATCCGTAATATTTAAGGGATAGTTAATATGAAAATATATTTGCCACGTTTACGTAATGTCTACTATGACACCAGATGGCGTCTCACTGACACACATCTCAGAGGTACATTTGGGAACATTTTTCATATATATTTATTAATGTGAGATGTTCGTCATTGTGAGGCAATCCACCTATTATAGCTTTGGAATAAATGGTTAGATATAAATATGCATCATATGCCAAACTCTCCTACTGAGGGAGATTTAGGATCGAATCTCATTACACCTGGGTTGGGGGGATGGACTACCCCGTTGTATAGTCCAAGAAAAAGAAAAGAAAAGAAGAAAAAAAATGTATAGATATGCATCAGTCGTACAGTTACAAATCACTCATACACATCCGACCCACGAAAATATCCAAAAATATGGGCGTGTTACGGTGATAATTAAGAATAGGACATCCCTATGTCTTGACAGATGGGATTGGGATGTAATGGGCGACGAGCAAACTTTTTTGCTTTAGCTTTTTATAATATTTAGCCAATAAAAAGAAAATATACGGACGGGACTGGGGAGGTGGGGAGTCCTTAGCTTAGCAAGAAGAGGGAAAGACTAACACTACCACGGCATCTCATCTCAAATATGAGAAAGAATGGATGCGATCTTGTGTTGAGGATGTAGGAAAAAGAAGAAGGGTATTAAAAAAAGGGACAACTTTATAAAGTTAAGTGGGAGAGGAGTAAGAAAGCTGCAGCTTATTGATAATATCCACGCATTCATATTTTCGGGAGGAAGGAATCCAACGGCGGAGGACAAGCATTCGCGGAAACACGGAGCCGCTCGCGCCAAGGAGTTTGGAACCTAACTCCGCAGTCCGCCCTTCTCCACGCACGCACACACATACAACTCTCGTTTCTTTCTTTTTCTCTTATTTTAATATTTAATAAAAAATAGGAGGAGAAGTAATAAAAGAAAACTTTGGTAATGGAAATACCAAATATATACCCACACTCTCCCTAATCCCTCCTCCCTTTCCCAAAAGAGGCAGGGCCAAGACGACCCAAGAGCAAAGCTAACCAACCACTATGGTTAGTCTTTAACTTGAAAAGACGAGGCTCCACCTCGAGTCCGGATACATATAAATCCACCTCTCCCAACTCCCTCCCACCGCCTTCTAACTTTTTCAATCCTTCCTTCTCATCTCTCCTTAATTTCTTCTTTCTCATCCTCTCCTCCTACTCCATCCTTCTGCTTTGCCTGGTTGCCAAGAAACCTCTTAAACCTCATCTCTCTCCTTACCAACCAAAATCCGAGGTTGTCGCTTTGGTTCATGATCCTGACATCAAGAAGAGATGAGTTGCAATGGCTGTCGAGTTCTTCGAAAGGGATGCAGCGAGTCTTGCATTCTCCGTCCCTGCCTTCAATGGATTGAGAGTCCTGAGGCACAGGGTCATGCTACTGTTTTTGTTGCCAAGTTTTTTGGCCGTGCCGGTCTCATGTCCTTCATAACCGCTGTCCCCGAAAACCAGCGACCTGGTAATGGTTAAGAAAATAGGATATGCAAAAAGAAGCGTAGAATTATCATTTAGGAAAGTTTTGTTCAAATTTTCGTTCCCTACAACTTCTCTTCTTTTCTAGGTCGAGCTTGAGTTTGATTTTATTCTGCCTTACCCTTTATGGTTTTATCTGATGAATCGTTAAATGCATGTTTGAAATTCCAGCTCTCTTCCAGTCACTCCTATACGAGGCATGCGGCCGTACTGTCAATCCCGTAAACGGAGCCGTGGGGCTTCTTTGGACTGGGAACTGGCACGTCTGCCAGACGGCGGTTGAGACTGTCCTTCGAGGCGGCACTTTGCGTCCCATGACGGATGTTGTGGCCGGAATCCTATCCCACGACTCCGACGAAACTTCTGAGGTGGAAGTTGCGTGTACCAACACCAAGAAGCAGCAGCGGCAAGATCTGTATTCCCGATCGAGGACGTCATCGAAGCGGAGGGGCTTCGATGAGGTGGCGGGGCTCAACCTACAACCTGGCAATCTCGATCTGTCTTTGATGCCGGGATTCCCGAAGAGAGTGGCAGCCGGAGGACGAGGAGTGGGAGGGATGGTGGAGAAGCGTCGTCCAGGGAGTCCATCCATGAATTCGGAAGAATCGGTAACGACGAGCTTCGACAGCGGAGCTGCTGCCGGGGATCAGATGAGAAGCGGCGAGCCAAAGCTTCTGAATTTGTTCCTTTGAGGAGAGAGAGACGGAAAATTGTCAAATTTGCGGGGGGGAGTCTGGTCGAAACTTACCTACTTTGAACTCGTCGATGTTCGATGTAACTTTTTTGTTTTCCTTTTTTTCTTTTAATTTTGAAGTCCCGGTTTTGAAATCCGGCGAGGTTTTGTAATTATCCGGCAAAGGATTTCTCTTGTGACGGAGGGAAAGATGAGTCTGCCGGTCATCCCTCTTCTATTATCCTTTCTTGTGGTGAGATGTGGCGTTAATAAATAATAATAGTAATAATAACGATGATCATGATGATGATGATCAGACGATGATGATAATTCTTTTTTCTTCTCTCTTTAAATTATATAAAGAAAAAAGAAAAGGTAATAGGTCCATTTTTATTTCGAGGCCGTGCTCTGCCTCTCTCTCTCTCTGCAACTAAACGGAATTTTCCCATTAAAGAAGTGAGAAGGAAAATAGCGAGGGTGGTGTAGCCTCAAAGTGGTGGGAGAAGAAAAAGGGACGGAAACACGTTAAGCGTGGCCAAACTTGTTACCATGGTTTTAATTTATCCATAACGCTCAGGAGTATACCATGGTTTATATATATATATATATATATATATATATTTGTATTGTATATATTTATACATTTGCATTTATACTCTTTCTAAATTAAATTAAATTGAGAATATAAATACAAATATATACAAAATAATATAAAATATAAAGTTTTATGTTCTACATATTTATATTTGTATTCCTTAAAATGGAGACTAGAGACTTAGAGAGGAAAGTATGAGTTGACTAGGGGGGCGTCATCGATCATACTTCATACATGAAGAATTGAAGATACATAATTGTAAGGATACAAATGACACAATCAAGTGGTGGTGGTGGATGGTGGATTGATGGGTAGTGGGTGGAACCCACAGTAATGCAAAATCTAAACCCCCAATCTCTTTTATATATACTTTTCATAGAAGAGAGAATCGTCGGAGTGCGGCGCATGTCAGCGTGGATTTCGGCGTTTTCGCATTCTTTTTATTTTTCCTTCTCAAGTCCGAGAGAGACTTTCTACGTTTATTTCTGTTTTTCAAATCACTTGATGATGAAATGGAGTTGCGCATCTCTCTCTTCTCCGTTTGGGATGGATGGAGTATAGGGTACGATCCACGTCACCACCTCTTGTTTCTGTTATTTTAATGTGAAAACAATGAAAACCACCAACTCCTCCCCCCTGAATGGAATTGGAATTCAAAAGCAGTAGGAAGAAGATGACTTGGGAACAGCAATAAATGAGGTAAAATTAAAATATTCCTATCTTTTAATTGTTATTAAACAAACAAGTACGGTTAAAAAGGTTATTATATTTATATGTATCTATAGAATAATATAAATATAATAAAGCAAGAAAAATAAAATAAAAGGCAACCCTCATGGACTCATGGTCATGGCCTCATCCATCCCTCAATCCAATCCATCGGTTGGTTCTTTGCATTGCGCCGCGCCTAGCCTCGCCTCGCCGCATTTGGCGTGGGCCCCACGGAACCTTCTCCCACTTGCTCTCTGCCCATCCCATCCCACCACCCCGCACCGCATCTCACCTCTCTTTTGTTTCTTCCCCTTTCTCTTTTATCTTATCTGTTTTATCGAAAAAGAGAAAGAGAGCAACTGTATATCTTGTTTATCACCTAAGCTCAGTTTGAAAAGGTTTTGCATCCTCTAAGTACTTAAATTTGTACTCCTTCTAAACCGAGCTTAAAATCCTAAACAACCCTCTTCCGTTTTGTGCTGTGCTTGTACAATGTACACAAAAAAATTCTTATTCAATGCCGGCCCACACGTACACGCTACACACACAACACAAGCCCCGTCTGATGGTTTTACTTTTCTTTGATGCAGTTTAAGCGAAGAACTGATCATTGTACATTTTAGGGTTGGGTTGGGGGCATCAGTTGGACTTTTGTTGCTTCTGGCTTGAAGGGATCAACTAATATATTTACCATTGCGTGCGTAGATAAAGATGGCGATAGTGAGATAGAGACAGGGAGCGAAATACATCATACTTACATAGTTGTATACCCAAGGATTAAGGGTCCAGTTCAAGATATTTGACCGGCCGATAGAGGCCAAAAGTTTACGTGAAATTAGGATCTCCTTGTCTTTTGCCGTCCGTCCCCCCCTTTTTTAAATTCATGTATGTCGTCAGTATGTGTATATTTAATTTGATTTTAACATAAAAATTAAATTAATGTAACTAAGAACAAATGGGAATAATTGATGTGCGTATTATATAAAAAAAAACAAACCAATATATAGTAAAAATAAAAAAATACTAATTTTCAATTTAATTGTAAAAATATATAATTGATGTTCAGCTCTCTCTCTCTCTCTCTCGACGCGGATTCCACCACCGCTCTCTTTCCTTTTTTTTTTTTTTTTTCTTATTAGTGTAAACAAGTTGCATTGAATTTAGGTAACAACGACAAATTCCAAGCTTCTGGGTGGAGATATGCATCAACTCCACATTCTACCCACACCCCACCTTTTTCTTTCTTTTACAATAGTTTATTATTTTATTCTCAACATGCACAACTTGCTTTGATTTATTTATTTATTATGAATCCAATGTAGCTTGCTAGCTAGTCTTCCTTTAAGTTTCCTTTTTCCTCGACGACTAAACTTAACTCCAGCTAGCTAATCCAAAGATTTAACGCAAAGAGCAAATGTTAGCCTGGATTACCTTTAATTAATCTCTACTTGCTTTGTGCTTAGGTCATCATTAATCGTTTCCGGTTTTCTTCTATCGTTTTTTTTTTTTCAATTCTTTGATTATTTTTTGTTGCTTTTGGTTGGAACGAGAGACCAACTTGCACTTTGGGTTGGCTTTTGAGATTCCGAATGTTGGCTATGGTATCTTATTTCCACCCCAGTTTTAATTAGTATATATCTCTCTCACTTTCCTGCTCACCAGTGGGACGTTTACAGCCTTCATCGGCCGTATGGGCTGCTAAAAACAGGGCATTTTACCCTTTTATTCAATTTTAGGGCCGTTGATTACTACTAAGGTCCTGTTTGGTTTGCAGGATAAGGGTCTGAAATTGAAATTAGAACAAATTATTTTGATTTCAACTGTTTAGTTGGGTGGAATTAGAATCTCATTCTCATTTTTGGTGGAATGGTATTCTTTCATTTAAGGGAATAGCATTTTCTTCCTCTCTTTTAGGAATGAAATTCCATTCTTGTTGATTCTAATTTTCATTCCCATTTCTGTCTAAACCAAACAGACTATGAGAATAGACCAATTCAATTCCAACTCCGATTCCAATTACAGATCTAAACTTCATTTGGCCATTCCCATGTGTATATATCATACATACATTACATTATAGTTTTATAAAAATAAAATAAACAATAACGCCACTACGCAATGAAATGTCAGAACCTTAGCCCATGTTCAGATGGGCAAACCAAAATTACAGAAAAGAAGCCTATGCTCCGCTGAAATATTAAAAAGGCACATAAATGAGTTTAACATTATTCAGTTCAGATGGGTGGGTTTCTGCTCTCTAGGATCACAGATTTTGTGTTAATGTAGAGTTAAGGTTGCATGCGAATTCTAACAATCTATGGAAGACTAAGGTAATATCTTCAATTTTTTCTTGAAGCCAAGGTAATATCTCTAATTAATCGAACACAATTGCAAGTACAGCCAAAATGAAGATAAGTGAAAGAAAATATTGTGTCCATCAGATGTTTGTTTTTTGATGCACAAATGGCACCCATCAGATCACCATAATTGATTGGCGCTTAAAGGATGGAATATGTTATATGTCAGCACATTCCAATATACCCTAAAGGTTACAAACAAATGCATACACCACTTTCAATAAAGGATCCTAAGTAGACTATCTAACCCTTGACTTGACGGATTACAACGAAATAATCAGTGAAGTATGGACAGGTCCAATGCATATTTTTTATTTCCACTGCAGAGCTATAAATATTTAAAATCTTAAAAACTCATATTTTATGCATTCATGTTCACCTGTAAATTGGCATCAATTTCAATCTAGCACTTACCTCAAATGTACTTTGAACTTACAAATTCTGACCTTAAGCTTAACCGTCATTCTCCTAATAATCAACCCCATCAAAAAAGAAAAAATTATGGCCAATTAGTCTTTTGATTTTATTGATGTTTTTCACAATTTGCTTTCTCGTAATTACACATGGATCGATGGATTTAAGTTAAATCTTTGAAGTTTGAACAAATACAAAGAATTAATTAATAGGTTCAAGGGCAGTACTAGTGACAAAATGTTGAGAGAGAGAGACAGTAATAATAATAAGCATCCTACGTTGAAAGGTTAAATTGTAAAATGTACGCGTTTCTTGTCAAAGTTATACGCATTAATCAGGGGTTTAGCTAGCCAGAGTTTTCTTTTTTTGAAGCCTAACAAGGCGAAGTGTACCCTGGTAAATGCCCTTTTATAATTAAGAGAATGTATGTGGACATTAGTACAAGAACAGTAGCCAGATTTTATGTTAAATTTGCATAAATAAAAAAGATGATTTGATTAATAAGTTTAGCTAATTGAATAGTTGATGATGTTAAGAGTTTGTTCGTTTGCTCTGAAGTTTGACATCTAAAAGTGTAATAATTACATTAAGAGATATATTGGTGTTGGTGAATTTTTCTTTTCTCTGAACTCTAAACATAGAGAATGTTGTTTTGAACTTTGAATTCTAATTTTTGAAAGTTATTAAATATCCATTTTGACTCCATATATGAGAGTTTTTATTTGTCTTTTTTGGTGTATTATTACAAAACAAAAAATTATATGATTGCACTTTAAGAGATAAAAGACAATAGAAAACGAACAACCATCTTTCTTTTAAAGTTAAAAGATTCCTATTACGATATGAGAATTAAGAGAAAATAAAGATACCCTAAATTAATATAATGACATACATGGATAGTCGGAAAGCGGGAGCCGACGATTAGAGTTGGGCCGTCGGCCATTTGGGTAGGTCTCAGCAAGCGGAACAATCCCAATACAAACAAAGACCCATTGACACATTTCGTGTAATTCATTCATTCATTCATTGAGTTTATGATTGTTTGGACAAGTAGCCTGTTACAGTCACGTCGGCTGGAAGCGAAGGAAGGACAATCATGTCAGCATCATCGATGTGCATGCAGACATTATTGTGTGAGGTGGACGATGATGATGTTTATGTTAGAATATAGAGGTGAGTGGGCGACCATGCCCATCTCTCGCAGGAGCAGTGTCAGAGAGCTAAGGTATATTGATGGCAACGGACACGGAAGCAGGTGGCCGGAGAAATCAAATGCTGATTTCTCCTAATAAATCATTTACTATTATGGCCTCTGAAGACTTTTCAGATTACATAACTGTAGCACAGCGGAAGTGGGGGGTATTCCAGACGAGGAAGCATCATGACCCAAGTAAAAGGTCCACACCTCCCATGAGAAAGGAAAGGAATCTTTTGGTACCTAGCTAGTACGTACGAACAAAACCGGTCGACTCTGCCATGGACGGGCGGATGCCATCCCCCCCTCTCTTTCTCTCTCTCTCTCTCACAACTCCCAAACTCCAAGGCGTACTCGCATTACCCGCGACCGTGGTCTGAGGGTAATGTCGTCGCTGGGTTATCCATGCATCTATGTAGATTGCACATCTGTAGCCAATTGATACAGTTTTGGAGGGAGGGAGATGGTCTGGTGCACTAAAGGAGAAGTGGGGGATGTTGACAATGACATCCAATTCCTATATATATCTTCAACTATCTACCAAATATCAACCGGAGGAGAGAAGGAGAGAGAACTTGTTACGTCATTTTCCACATGATCTTTGTTTGGGGGATCTTCTCCTCGTCTTTAAAGTCTTAAACTCATACCAAGGTCAACGTCTGCCTGCTCTCTCATGATGAAATGAGAGAATATATGTGTATGTGAGAGAGAGAGAAAGAGAGAGAGGAAAGAGTGAACAGTGAACCTAGTACTGAACTCGTCGTGGTTTAGTGAATAGTGATGGCAGAGGTCTCCCATACACCAACTTCTGCATGTTCAGGAGGTTCTATAATCTATATTAATTGAGAGTAGTGAGCTGCTGCTGTTCCCAGTATCCCCCGAATCCCGTTTAAAGGAGACAAGGTCCCGATAACAGAGAAACCCTTGTGTAACTAAGCAGCTATACCGGGATAGATGGAATGCTCCCTGCCGACACTGGCACACCCCTCCAGAAAACCAGACTTTGGCTTTGTTCTCTCTCTTGGAAAGTGAAAAACAATAGAATGGGACTGACTATTCTACTCCATTTGGAATTCAAACTTGGGGGAACATGTTGTACTTAAAAAATTCAAACTGTGAAAATCAATTTAGCCTACCCTTTGACTATTACTTTACTTCGGACGCAAAGGGGAAAGCGTGTGGTGGGTTTGGATAAAAAAACAGTAGGATATGGATGGAAAAAGTTTGGGGGGAGACGGACGAATAAGGAAGTCTAGGCAATAGATGATTATCAAGAAAGCAAGACAAATAGTTAGATAATCTATTTCGTATAAGGAAAATGACAAATCAGATTTAACACTGAGGGATTTCCATTTCCTTCGTTTTTTCCAAATAAGCTTCTACCTGGTGCCCTGCCCATTCTCAGTTTCTCACCTACCTAGAGTTCTTTTCCAGGTTTGGTTTGATGGTCATGGTACTCTGCTCAGCAAATGCACTCCCAGCTAAAATAATTCCCAGGAACAAGCAAGGCAGTAATCTGATTCTATGGTATGGTAAAATCACTACCATGCTATACAAGTTCTTGAGTTCAGACAACCGACGCAAACAGAAGACAAGCCAAATCAATCACTCTCACCTGCAAACGAACTTGTTAAATCCTTCGGGCTAGTTAAAGTCACTAGACACCGAAAAAAATCATGGCTCTGGCTCTGCACACCTTTCATCCAATTCGTTTGCAATGCAATTTCGTTACACTGAAAATTATGAGTGCAAATGAATTGAATGCAACTTATGGTTTATTTTTATTTTAGTTTTTATTATCACAATGATAGACAAGCTCAGACAAGAAAACAAAAAGTTGGTAAAAATAAACTGAGAATAAAGGGGAAGGGGGGAATTGGGAAACATCATACACATATTTACAGCAGCTTTCCTTTTTAACTATAGGGGTAAAAAGGAGAAAAAAGACAGATTTGTTTACACCTAATATGAATTCCCGAGAGCAAAAAGCCATTTTCTGTAATCTGTGCATACAAAATACATGATACAGCTGGTCTCCAACGGGTTCCAAAGAGGGCAAATTAGAGCTCTTGTTTTCTCTCACAAGCAACCATTCAATACTCTTACAGCCTCCGGTGCTGCCTCCGGGTGAGAAAAAGAAAGGTTTGATGTGATGTTAGCATTTAGAGTAGGAAGTCAGATAAGATCAATCTACACTTGTGTTGTCAGGCTTGTTGGTACACGTTTTAGTTGTAATATATGTGTTCTCAGGCTACAATCCTTCACCTGTTACCACAAGTTTTATTAGCAATTAACCCAGAGAAACCAAAGCAAAGAAGAAATCCGAGCAATACTTACCTGTAAAGCTGCTAATGTGGACAAGAAATCTTTGCACTGAAATAACAAAGCCCGCTCTTGAGCGGCAACATTTGCAAGTTCAGCCACCAAGGAGTTCATCTCATCCACCTGCAAGTGACAGATGGTTTTAACGTTAACAGGTAAACTGGAGTTAAGTCAAAGGCAAACGACAGGTCCTCCAAGTATTCTCTTTTTTTATTTTGTGGGTTTAGGGTAAAAGAAGTATAAAATAAAGGGAGAATGACTGTTCAGTCCACCCCCAGAATTCTTAGCTCCACCGTTACATGGACGGATATTGGTGTTTAGGGTGGGGGTGTTTGACATTTTGAATTGTTGTAGATCTGCAGTGGAATTCAGAATTCTGAGGTGGAGTGCAGTGTACTTATCCGTAAAATAAAATGAAATACATGTTACCATCTTTGACTTCAACCATGTTTTAAAGTATCGAATACACTCATTCACTTGAAACTCTTGCTTCTTTAACTTTTTGGGTTGGTGATTTGTCAATAGACATGTCACATCACCTATTGTTTTTATGTTTTGGTAAAAGGAAATTCCATTAAACCAACCAAGGACAAAGAACAACAACAAACAACAAGACTTATTATCCTTTAAAACAATTGAAATCACCTAGGGTCACATGGAGAGGGG